AACGGAAGAAAGAAATAATACAAATTAGAGCAGAAATCAATGAAATTGAAAATAAGAAATTTATTGAGAAAATCAATGAAACAAAAAACTGGTTCTTTGAAAAAATCAACAAAATTGATAAACCACTAGACAGATTACCCAAGAAAAAAAAGAGAGAGAGAACACACAAATTACTAATATAAGAAAGAAAGTTGACCATGACAACTGATCCCATGAACATTAAAAAGGTAATTATAAAAAAAATACTATAAGCAACTCTTTGCCCACAAATTTGATAACTTAGATGAAATGGATCAATTCCTTGAAAGATACAGCCTTCTAAACTCACACAAGAATAAAAATATTATTTAAATAGGCCTATATCTATTAAAGAAATTAAATAAACAATTAATAACCTTCCAAAACAAAAAGCACCAGGCCCAAGTAGACTCACTGGTGAATTCAATCAAACATTTAAAGAAGATTTGGCACCAATCCTTCTCAAACATTTCCAAAAGAATAGAAGAGGAAGGAACACTTCTCCACTGATTCTACAAGGTTAGCATTACCCTTATATAGAAACCAGACAAAGACATTACTAAGAAGAAAAGTTGCAGAGCAATATCTCTCATGAACATAAGTGCAAACTCTTCAACAAAATATTAGCTATTTGAATGCAATAATGTATTAAAAGTATTATATACCATGAACAAGTGGGATTTATCCCAGGCATGGAAGGGTGACCCAATATTCACCAATCAGTTACACCTAACCTCACTTTAAGAACTATCATGTTATCTGACATTTCCACATTTATGACAGTAGTAAAAAAAAATCTACTATCAAACTATTTTGCACATTAACAGCATATGTCTGGGGTAGCAAACACTGAGATGTGAGCCAAGAGTAAGACTGGCTGCGATGATAAAGATTATGTGTCAGCTTGGCTGGGCCATGAGTATCAGTGGTTTCGCAGTTATGTAATGGTGTTATTTGACAGTTATACAATGATGTAGTCATTCTCCATTTTGTGATTTGATATGATCATTCTCCGTTTTTGCATGAAGTTAATTTTTACATAACAACCTGGTCTTTGGAACAAAACCGTGTCGATAAGTGAGGAGTGAGTGTAATGTAATTCATCATTTCAATAGACAAAAGAAGAAAAATCATATGATCATATCAATAGATACAAAAAAAGCATTTGACAAAATCTAACACCTGATCA